GGCCTGCCCCAGGGCCTTTGCACGTGAGGCTCCCACCCTGGTCTCCTTCCTCCCTGCTGCCACCACGTCTCCATGCGGTGGTGCAGACACACTCTTCAGGCCCTTCTGCCTGACTTTCTTCCCAGGATCTGCTTGGTGACGTGTGTGACAGACCCTACCCCAGGAGCAAGTGACGACCCCAGTGTGTGGCGCCGGACGCGATGGACCTGGCATACGTCTGCGAGTGGGAGAAGTGGCCCAAGAGCACCCACTGCCCCTCGGTGCCCCTGGCCTGCGCCTGGTCCTGCCGGAACCTCATTGCCTTCACCACCGACCTCCGGAACGATGATCAGGGTACGCTGCCCACCCCAGCGGGCGGTTTGGCACCACCCTCAATCACCTGTCAGGCCACTGGAGTGTCCTCCTCTCTCCAGACTGGGAGCACCACCTATGGTGGAGCGAGGACGGGGGGAACGTCACTGGGGTTTGGTGACCCCACTCTGTTCACTCTCTGACCGTTGGAGCCATTGTTTGACTTTTTTACAGTCTCGGCTCTGCTTCGCCCAGCGGCCTTCCCACCGTGGTCAGCTTCAGCTAAGCTCAGGGGAGAAAGAGCCATGTGGGGACTCAGGGTGTAGGACAGAACCCCGCCCACTCTCAGCAGTTTGGGTTCTTCTTAGGTGCTTTTTGTGAGAAGGAGCTTGCCACTGATGGTGTGTTGCTTGTCCCTCTCTGTCCTCCTGGTGGGTGCACGCTCTGCCTTGCTGACCGTAGCTCTCAGCGTGGTGGACGGGGCCCTGGGTGCACGCTCTTCCTTGCTGACTGTAGCTCTCAGCGTGGTGGACGGGGCCCTGGGTGCACGCTCTGCCTTGCTGACTGTAGCTCTCAGCGTGGTGGACGGGGCCCTGGGTGCACGCTCTGTCTTGTTGACCGTCATCCCTGTCAGTGTGGTGGACGGGGCCCTGGGTGCATGCTCTACCCTGCTGACCGGGTGCATCCGTCCACAGACCTGACCCGGATGATCCACATCTTGGACACGGAACACCCCTGGGACGTGCATTCTGTGGACTCACAGCACCGGGAGGCCATTACCTGCCTCGAGTGGGACCAGTCGGGTGAGGATGGCTGGCAGGGCTGGGAATTGGCACACCTTGCTGGCCTGCACTGGGCCTCTGTCCAGGCAGTGACCTTTCTAAGCGTGTTCTGCCCATCACAACCTTTGAGACCCGGTCTTCCCACACCCCTCGGGCTCTGCTGTCCCTCGGGAGAGTGTGACACTGCCTTTGTCATCCCCAGGCTCCCGGCTTCTGTCAGCAGATGCCGACGGGCAGATCAAGTGCTGGAGCATGGCAGACCACCTGGCCAACAGCTGGGAGAGCCCCGTGGGCAGCCTGGTGGAGGGGGACCCCATCGTGGCCTTGTCGTGGCTACACAACGGAGTGAAGTTGGCTCTGCACGTGGAAAAGGTGAGTGCCCAGCGCTCCTCACCCTGCCCGGTCACCTGGCACCATCTTCCTCTCCGGCACCTCCATCCTGATTGTCCACCTCACGTCTGCTGTCAGGTCACCAGTACCTGCGTTCAGTGAGCCATTCATTTAGTCGGTGGGGACTCGCTGCCTGGGTTAGCTGGTGGGTGCTTTCTTCAGAACGCTGACCATCTTTGATTAGTTAACGTCCCCGAGTTCTGTTCTTATACACCATGACCCAGCCCCTCCTTAATATTGAGCATGGGAGCTGGTGGAGAGGGGACCCTCTCGTCTGGTGTGAGCTGGTGGAGGGGGGACCCGCTCCTCTGCTGGTGTGAGCTGGAGGGGGACCCTCTCGTCTGGTGTGAGCTGGAGGGGGACCCTCTCCTCTGCCCTTGGCAGCTGGTGACAGGCTTGGTGACATTTCAGCATGAGAAGGTGCAGGTGGCTGAACTTAGGCTGCAGCTTTCAGACTGTGTGTGTGTGTGAGAGAGAGAGTCACTTTCTCGTCACCTGGTTATTCATTCTTATCGGTGCCTTTTCTCAGAGCGGTCACCCCTACCCTGGCCGAGGTCCTGGCACCTGTCACTTCTCGGCTCTGAGTCTACCTGTTCACGTTGGCACCTTCCATGCTTGCACAGTCCCCTTTACAGCTGGGCATGATTTTGTTGAAAAAGACCAGAGTGTGGGCTTCAGACACCCTTGACTCTGATGGAAGCACACGATGCTGGTGCCACATGTTGCCGTGGTAACCCCTCCCCGCTGGCCTGGTGCTGGCACGTTGCCATGGTAACCCCTCCCCAGCGCTTGCTGCTTCTCTCCCTGCTGCTGGCCAGTTTTGTCGAAGCTCCAGCAGCTCCCTCCCCCAGTGCAGCCTGCAGTTTGTGGACGAAGCGTCCACCTGTGCTCCCTCCAGGGATGGTCTGGCCTCCGCAGAGCTCTTTCCCATTTCACCTGTTTGCACAGGTCTGGTTCTCTCCATCTCTCTGAAGCCTCTGTTCCCTTTAACACCGTGTCGGAGTTGACCACGGCTGCCCTTCAGCAGGTTCTCAGAGGCCGTGCCTCACTCGGGCTCTCTCCTGCGGAGCAGCTGGGGGATTCGAACCGGGTGCTCTTAGGTTGGCAGCGCAGCTCCTTTCACCCAGGCCTCGCCTCGAAGCAGGCGTTGTGATTAAGTCTGCCTTGCAGATGAGGCGACGCAGGGTCCCAGAGGCCGATCACGGGAGGGAGACCCCAGGGGCTGAACGCGCTCCTGCTGCTCCTTGGCCGGGCCGTTAGTGCCGGCGGGGAAGGTGACCGGCACCTCGTCCCCTCCTGCCTCTCCCCTGCAGTCGGGCGCCTCCAGCTTTGGTGAGAAGTTCTCCAGGGTCAAGTTCTCCCCGTCGCTCACGCTGTTCGGCGGCAAGCCCATGGAAGGCTGGATCGCGGTGACGGTCAGTGGCCTGGTCACCGTGTCCCTCCTCAAGCCCAACGGGCAGGTGCTGACGTCCACCGAGAGCCTGTGTCGGCTGCGCGGCCGCGTGGCCCTGGCGGACGTCGCCTTCACGGGCGGCGGCAACATCGTGGTGGCCACGGCGGACGGCAGCAGCGCGTCGCCCGTGCAGTTCTACAAGGTGTGCGTGAGCGTGGTGAGCGAGAAGTGTCGCATCGACACGGAGATCCTGCCCTCACTCTTCATGCGCTGCACCACCGACCTCAACCGCAAGGACAGGTTCCCCGCCATCACGCACCTCAAGTTCCTGGCCAGGGACATGTCGGAGCAGGTGAGGGGGGCGGGCAGGTGAGAGGCTGGAGGGACTGGTGAGGGACATATCAGAGCAGGTGTGTGGCTGGTGGGCAGGTGAGGGGCTGGAGGGGCTAGTGCAGGACTGGTGGGGCAGGTGAGGGGCGAGTTGGAGCAGGTAAGGGACTGGCAGGGCAGGTGAGGGGCTGGCAGAGCAGGAGAGGAGCTGGTGGGGCTCGTAGAGCAGGTGAGGGACTGGCAGGGCAGGTCAGGGGCTTGCGGGGCAGGTAAAGGGCCAGCGGGGCTGGCGGGGCCAGTGTGAGGGCATATCAGGGTAGGTGAGGTGTATGTCGGAGCAAGTGAGGGACTGGCACACACCACCTCACGGGCCCAGGACCTAAAGTCCAGCTGAGGCTCCACCTGGCCAGCTTCTCAAGGCCCAGAGACCCCTCCTGCCTCCTCAGAGCCAGTGGCCAGGCGTCTTGCCAGGCTCTCCACTTTCATCCTCACTGCCCTGTCCTCTCCCGGCACTGCCCCGGCCCCCCTTGTCCCTTCTGAGGACTTCGCCCTGGCCCGTGGTCTCGTGGTGATGGTCCTGCCTGCACGGGCCCTCTTCACCCACACCACCGCCTTCTTGGTCAGGACGGCTGTGTGTCCTCAGGGCTGCCTTGGTGTGGGGGAGCTTGGGCATCTTTAGGGCCCCACGCCAGGTCCAAGTCCCACTGTCACTGGGAGTCATTGGGTCCTTGCTGGAGGACACGGGCAACACTCGGAACCCACATGGGTAGATCTGGGAATCGGGCCCGGCCTGCAGAGGGGACTGGGGCTCAGCACCCGTCTCTGCTCCTCGCCGATCCCTGCCCCTGTGGCCCTCAGCCATTCCTGCCCCTTCCACCCGACCTCACCCTCACCCCCGCCCCAGGTGCTGCTGTGCGCCTCCAGTCAGACCAACAGCCTGGTGGAATGCTGGTCACTGCGGAAGGAGGGCCTGCCGGTCAACAACATCTTCCAGCAGATCTCCCCCGTGGGTGAGTTCAGCTGGGCCACTGCCCTCTCCTCTGTGTCCCACTAATCACACAGTCCTGTCGTTGTATCTGGTTGACTTCTGCACCCTCGTCCTGCTCCAGGGGGCTGCCAGCTGCTGTCCACCACTGAGGGACAAGCAGAGAGTCATCCCTACACCACTGATGGGGGGATACGGAGAGAATCACCCCTAAACCACTGATGGGGGCCAGGGAGAGAGTCGAAACTACATCACTGATGGGGGACAGGGAGGGAGTCACCCCTACACCACTGATGGGGGGACAGGGAGGAGACACCCCCGTACACCGCTGATGGGGGACAGGGAGGGAGTCACCCCTACACCACTGATGGGGGGACAGGGAGGAGACACCCCCGTACACCGCTGATGGGGGACAGGGAGGAGACACCCCCGTACCCCACTACTGGGGGACAGGGAGGAGACACCCCCATACACTACTGATGGGGGACAGGCAGAGTCACCCCTATACCACTGATGGGGGGACAGGGAGGAGACACCCCCGTACACCGCTGATGGGGGACAGGGAGGAGACCCCCCGTACACCACTACTGGGGGACAGGGAGGAGACACCCCCGTACACCGCTACTGGGGGACAGGGAGGAGACACCCCCATACACTACTGATGGGGGACAGGCAGAGTCACCCCTACACCACTGATGGGGGGACAGGGAGGAGACACCCCCGTACACCGCTACTGGGGGACAGGGAGGAGACACCCCCGTACACCGCTGATGGGGGACAAGGTGAGAGTGCACCTTCATGGATGTGGAGACGGCCCACGGCATCTGTGGCTGGGAGACAGGCTTTTGGCCCATCTTCTCCTTTATTGATAGAAAGACTGGCTCAGAACAACCCCGTCTCTAGGGTGGAATGAGGAGACCCCTTCCCAGATAGTGCAGCTGAGTCCCCATCTGCAGAAGGAAAGCCAGGGCATAGCCATGAGCCCCCCTGTCCCTCTCATGTCCCTGAAGCCACTGAGACCGTGGGTGGAGGAGGAAGGCCTAGGCCAGGTCACACCTCCTTCCCCTTCCCCAGGTCTCACCCATCCCACCTCCACCTGTGCCCTGTCCTGCGAGCCCTGCGTCACACCAGGACTCCCTTTGGAGAAGGGCTGGATCGCATCCTGAGGGGGCCACTCTGCAGGGACACCCCACCCCCGTGTGTTGTCCACAGACGGTAAAGCAGGGGGCAGACAGCTGGAAGAACTGAAGCCCCGAACCCACTTCCTGTGTCTTTATTGAAAATCACCGGCAGCAAATCACGAAGAGAATTCAATGCAAATGAAGCCAAGCTCTTTCTATTGAAAACCTTATACTTGACTCAGGAGGGGGGGTCGGCAAGAACCGTGAAGAGGCCTGAAGGTCGGCCTTGTGTCTGTACCCAGCCTCCCTCATCCTGACACAGCGTTTGGTTTTATCATCAATAATCACTTTGAAATTAGGCTTCTCAGACTCATGTCCGGGTCAGCCCTTGTCTACCTGAGTACAGGTGTCACTGGGTCACAGAATGGACCCTGCTGTGGTCAGGACGTCCCCGAGGCAGCACTCGTAGGCCACCATCACTGATTGGGTGGCTGGTGCTTCCCGGCTGCACAGGGTCTGGGCCAGCGTCCTCCAGGGGTCGGACAGGACCGGGAGAGGCCAGGGGACTGGGCAGGGGCACGGAGGGAAGTGCTTGGCCACCTTTCCCATCTCTCCACTCTGCTCCCGTTCCTGTCTTCAGTAGGTGACAAGCAACCCATGATCCTCAAGTGGCGGATCCTGTCGGCCACCAACGACCTGGACCGAGTGTCGGCCGTGGCCCTGCCCAAGCTGCCCATCTCGCTCACCAACACTGACCTCAAGGTGGCCAGCGACACGCAGTTCTACCCTGGCCTCGGTACGGCCCAGCCAGAGAGAGCCACCACAGTGCTGGGTGATGGGGGGCTCTGCATGGTTCTGAGACTGGATACGCTTGGGAGGTTCTGCATGGTTTGGGGGCTCTGGGTGGGGTGGGGGCTCTGTGTGGTGCTGGGTTACTGGTGGGGGGCTCTGGGTGGGGGCTCTGCATGGTGCATAGGTGCTTTCCAGTGACTGTACTGGGGGCTGTCACTTCCTGACTCCCATGAGGCCTTTGTGGGCCGGGTTCTGGACATGTGAGGACCCCCAGGTCCTCTGGTTGGGAGAGCCCTTCTAATTGCACCCCTTGGGAGCTGCTTACCTCAGCAAAAGCCAGGCTGGAACAAGTCACCTGAGGCATGGTGACCCAGCCTGGGGGGAGGGTGACCTGGGCTGGGGGGGAGATGACGCGGCCTGGGGGGGCGAGGGTGACTTGGCAGGGTGGGGGTGGGGTGGCCAGGCCTACAGGGAAGGGGAACCTGTGGACGCTGAGGTGAGCACACGTGCACCCTGTGTGCAGGCCTGGCCCTGGCCTTCCATGACGGCAGCGTCCACATCGTGCACCGCCTGTCGCTGCAGACCATGGCGGTCTTCTACAGCTCGGCCACCCCACGCTCCGTGGACGAGCCCGCCATTAAGCGCCCACGCCCCACGGGACCTGCTGTCCACTTCAAGGCCATGCAGCTCTCGTGGACCTCCCTGGCCCTGGTGGGCATCGACAACCACGGGAAGGTGAGCAGACACTGCTGGGGGCGGGCGACAGTGACTGGTGACAGCGTTCAGCCACCACCAGCCAGGAGAAAGCGCTGTGGTCCTCCATCCCTCAGTGGTTAGCTGTCTGGATAGACATGTCTCTGGGAGGTGGGGACTCCTGGAGGGAGTCCCTGGAAAGCTGGGGTCTCTGGAAGGCGGGGGACCCTGGAGGGCAGGCTATAATCCTGCGTGGGGGCACTGGGGGACATCAGCGTGGCCTGCAGCGGGCGGGTCAGGGCTTCCGACCCATGACATAGGGGGCGGGCGTGGCCGTGGGCATGGCCTCCCTGTCAAACACATTGTGGGGCCATCTTTGACCTTGAGCTCCGTACTCTGTGCCCTGTGCCCGGCCCCAGGGGTCCCATCCAGAGGTCTCCTTTCCCACCTCAGCCTCCCAGCATGCAGCCTCACCACTGCGGTGGGCACACTTGGGGGTCAGGCCTGGGGAGGGCACGCTCGTTCTGTCTCTGGACCGTATCTGCCAGTGCAGTGACCTTGAGGCCCCCAGATGCACCCACCCATGGTCTGGATGACACTGGACAGGAGCGTGGTGTCCTCACAGCCCAGCCTGTCCTCACAGGACCAAGGCTGGCTCTGTGGCCTCTACACCTGCCTGCCCTCCCGGGAGAGGGCCTCAGGCCAGCACCTTGTGTCCCCTCTCACCTGGGACCTTCCCCGAGCTGCACCCCTCACAGACGTGTCCCCACCTGCAGCTGAACATGCTGCGCATCTCGCCCTCCATGGGCCACACGCTGGACGTGAGCCTGGCTCTGCGGCACCTGCTCTTTCTGCTGGAGTACTGCATGGTGACCGGCTACGACTGGTGGGACATCCTGCTGCACGTGCAGCCCAGCATGGTGCAGAGCCTGGTGGAGAAGCTGCACGAGGAGTACACGCGCCAGAGCGCAGCGCTGCAGCAGGTGAGGCGGCCGCACGGGAGACCCAGGAGGCTGGGGAGGCCAGTGGGGGAGCCCTGCGGCTCGGCTCGCGCTGGGGGCCGGGTGAGGCCAGTGCCCGCAGCCCTGCCCTGTGTCTGTGCCCTGAGCACAGGCCCTCGCCCCGCCCTTCTGCATGTAGCAGGTTTTCACTCCCGTGTGGGCGCGTGTTCCTAGGCCCGCGTGTGGGTGAGATCCGAGTCCCTCCCCAGCCGCCTGCGCTCCCTCGCTGGTCATCCCTGCCCACTGCCTCATGCTGGCTGCCCCCAGGTCCTGTCCACGCGGATCCTGGCCATGAAGGCCTCGCTCTGCAAGCTGTCACCGTCCACGGTCACGCGTGTGTGCGACTACCACGCTAAGCTCTTCCTCATCGCCATCAGCTCCACGCTCAGGTCTCTGCTGCGCCCCCACTTCCTCAACACCCCCGACAAGAGCCCCGGGGACCGCCTGACCGAGATCTGCTCCAAGATCGCCGATGTGGGTGAGCGCTGGGAGGGCCCCGTCAGTCACCCCTGCCCCCCACCAGCACCACAGCCTGCTGGGCTCCCCAGCCTGCCCCTCACCAGCACCGCTGACCTGACTGGTCTCCAGACCTGCCTACCTCCCCCACCCCGGCACCTCACCAGCGCCCCACAATGTGCCCACCTCCCCTGACCTCCCCCACCCTTCTTACCTCCTGCACCCTTTCCCCCCACCTTCCCTACCTCCCTCACCCTTCCCACCTCCCCTCTGTACTCCCTACCCCTACTCACCTCTCCTTTGACCTCCCCCACCCAGGCCCACTCCCCCTCCTCACTTTCCCCACCCCTGCCCACCTCCCTCACCAGTCCCCTCACCTTTTCCTCTGACCTTATCCCCCGTGTCCTCTACCCCTCCCTGCTTTCCCACCTCCCTACCCTCCTGTCCATCTTGACCCGTGGCCTGACCTGCGCTTCCTCCTGGAAAGCCTACCTAGCAAGTGGCTTCCTGAGCTCCTCTGTCCCAGCAGGCCTGTGCTGGGTCCTGGCAGATGGGCCAGCGTGTGCACGAGGCGCTGGTGTGTACAAGTGCTTGTGCAAGCGTGTGGGGGCGTGCGTGGGCAGGGGGGCCCCACCACATGCAGCGTCCTGTCTTCCAGACATTGACAAGGTGATGATCAACCTCAAGACCGAGGAGTTTGTCCTGGACATGAACACGCTCCAGGCCCTACAGCAGCTCCTCCAGTGGGTGGGAGACTTCGTCCTCTACCTGCTGGCCAGCCTGCCCAACCAGGTGCCACGCAGCCCCGCCTGCTCCTCGCCTGCCCCCCCCTGCCCCC